TGTGATGTTACTATCGTTGTTGATGTTACATAACATAGGTAGGGTCGGAATTTGGTGTAAAAAGCATCTTGAAACCTATTTTCATTAAACTATGTTAGAGTTAACAGAATGGATGTTTAGCTGATAAATCTGCTACATGTGAATCCATACAATAATACTGATACTGATAGATGCTGATGTTTGCCCAGTATTACAACGTTTGCTCCGCTCAGAGAGACTGAAGGGAAAAGCCTAAATGGCACCCCGCCTTCTCTCTCCCCCACCTTCATATTGTGGAAGACACCATGCATGCTAAATGACAAAAAATAGATACCCCTAACCCAATTTCACTGGGAGAACTGCATATTTATCGCAGCAAAATATACAAATATCAATGCTGTGAGACTGAAAGTGTCTAATATGTTAAAACTTTAGAGAACACCAGGCTGCATACCGTAAACGCATCACATATTCAAAAGCATGTGGCTTATTGGTAAGACTTTTCTGAGCTATATGGTGACTTGTTCTTGTTTGCAAAGCCTTTCTGTGAGCGAAAAAAAGCATAGCAGGGGAGACGGTTTAAACTTAAATCCATCTTTTATTGACGTTTATGTTCACTGTATGATCTGTAACATCACAATAGCATACTGGGAAATTAGTACAGGAAGAAGGAATGGTGAATACCCTGCGTGTTTTATAAACCTCGCCTTCCTTTAGTCTTCTCAAAAAGGTCAAAGGCGAAGGTGAGTGGGCCATACAATACTCTTAAATGCACACCAGTTTATCATTACCTCATTCGGTCTTCAAAATACAGCATTTTTATAAGAGCTAAAAAGCACAGGAATAAATAAAAACAAGTGTGGAATTTTACCATTGCCATCATACATCTGTCAATTCTAATAGTATGTATATAAAGCGTGACCCAAGACAACAGAAGGAGGTGACAAAGAGTACAAGGGTTCATCTCCATCTTAAAAAAAACCCACAGGAGGAATGTGACGTGAAGTTTGCTCCCCCCCTTTTTCCACCGCTTCCAAATTCTTTGTCCTTGAGGTCAAATCGACCCAGTCGGCCCAGATTAACAACTGGCAGGTTCAAGAGACAACATGCTTCGTAAAATGAATTTTACTTAACGTCCTTAGTATAAGGAGTTAGGTTGGTAGTAAGTCAGGGTCGAATTATTCAAGCATCACAACACCTCCAAAGTCTCCTTCAAAAAAAAGTTAAAGTCTTCAGATTATATTCCACAATAAGAATAATGATTAAGTGCTTCTTTTTTTTTCAAAAACAAAAAGGGAGCCAAGAGAGCTTGTTTTGTTATTCAATGACTGATGAGGAGAATGTGATGCTGCAGTGCTGCTTGTTTTCAGTCCATGCAGTGGAATCAGAGTGAATAATGAAAAATTACATTCAGAAAAAAATAAATGTTGCTCCGTCCTTCCCTCCCTTAATTTCTCTCCTAGCCCAGTGTCTGATATAGCTTAAACATAACCTCAAACTGAGGACTGTGTTCAGTGTGGTACAACCCAATACAATGTTAAAAAGCCAGGAAATACAATGTAGGAGTACATAATTGGGAATGATCTAATTTCAGGAATATATCAAATCAGATACAGTGAAAAATAATCAACTATTCTGGGCTTTTAAATAAACTGGCCCAACTGAATTTCAGTCTGAAAACAAATGGCAATTAAGTTACTGAAAGAAAAACACTATGTCCTGCTATGCGTCCTCCTTTCCTTGTTCTTTTTTCCAATCACCTTTCCTCTCTAACATTGTGTTCCAGCACACTGAACATGCCCACATTATCCCCATCTGCCCAGTACATCTCCCACTCACACACACAAAATCCTCCCTCAATCAAAAAACATGCACAACTATAGAGACCCCCCACCCCTCCCTCCACCACAAACAAAGAAAAAAATAAATCATCCCATTAAAACAATGCAACTGCAAAAGAACTACACATTCAAGTACCTATTTGTCATATGGCACCAAGAGCAAGTGTACCACAAGAAGATTAATCAGCCAGCAAACTCTGTTAGGCCTACTCTCTTTCAATACTGCCATTTCAGAAAGCACAATGAATTTGCCATTGAATGGTTGAGAAAAAAAAAAAAAAAAGTGTATATTACAGGTTTGTATATACTTATAGCCTATTTTAAACACATCTACGGAAAAGAATACACATGCAAAGTATGTGTATCCACTTTGTCTATGAGCACATTTGTTTCAAAAAAGAAAAGAGGCTTTTTCTGACAAATATTTGTTTCTATCACTTATTAGTGCTTGGGTAGACAGAAATGAAAGCCCAAAGAGTTAAACCTGGGGCTTTCCCAGCAACCGTCCCGCGCCTTTCGAGGCAAAGTCTATGAAGATAGCTGTGGAAATATTAAGGACAGCAAATTCTGTGACAGTGTGAACACGGCTCTGGGTGTAGGGCCTATTCTCTTCTGTCCTACAGTGTCCCTCCTATTCTTCATACAGTGAAACACCACACACCTCCCTCCCTCTCCCAATCTGCTGTACAAGGTATAGTTCATGCTCCCCTTGTTTTTTTTGTTTTTTTAAATCCATCTGTAATAGGACCACAGCCACAGTACTTTGAAAAGCCATATATACCAAAAAACATTTTTAAAAGACATAAAAAAAGGTGGAATTTCTTTTCAATCAAAACAAAAAAAGGCTTCTTTTTTTCTTTTTCTTTTTTTACACAGGATATTTCAGAGATAGAAAAGGCAAATTGTAGCAGAAGCAGTATTGTTTGTGTGCACGTGTTGAGAAGAAGAGGGGAAGAAGAAGAAGGTGAGGCTGGAATTCCTTCACCCCAAACCCTGTCTTTGGAAAGCTGCTGTGTGGGAACACTGTGTGTGCAACTTTTCTGTGTTTAAATTTGTCTACAAACACACAGACCACACGCATGTTAGGCCACAACGAATACCATGGCTAGGAATTAAGATGAAACAAACAAATCAAAATATATATCTATATATATGAATTTAATATATAATTTCTATCTTTCTATCTCTTAAACAACAGCAGGCTTAAAAGCTTATGATTCTGGCAACGTCTGCCGATGCAGATGACAGCCGAGTCTCTTCTGTCATGTGAAGAGACAGACAGAAGCAGAAAGAGAAGGAGACAGAAGGGGTGGGGAAAATCAACTGTTTGATAATATCCTTTAAGAGACAGGAGGAGAAATAGTGAGCAGGGACGTGCAAGAAGAGTCATCACACTTGAGTTTGAATTGACTCCATGTAATTCCCATCTGCAGCCTGGCACACGAGTCCCATGTCCCGTTTTAGTTTGGACACAGTGTGGAGGAGCCAAAAGGAAATTTGTCGCCAGACACTCGGCTCTATCATAAGTGCTCCCCTCGCGTTCAGGTGTGTAGCCCCAGCCAATGGGCTCTTGGCCCCTGAATTTGAGGCTTTAACCAAGAGGTCTTTGGATAGCGAGGACTTCGGAAGTTTTTGAATCCCGGTGTTCTGTGGAGCATTTCTGTGGTGCATGGGCAGGTGAAGTGTTGGACCTTGTTTGAGTAACAGTAATGCCCCGAACCCCCAACCTCGCCTGAACTGGCGAGCTTGGGGGGCCTACTGACTTTTTCTGTGTGGCTGATTGGCTGCCAGTCAGGCGCAAGTAAAGTTTACACTTCAAAACAAATATTGTCCCAAAAAAAAAAAAAAAAAAAAGGTGCGTCCAACAAACCACTTTAGTCCATTCAGTATGTTATCCATGAGTGGTTGGCTGACTGTAGAGTTGTGAGGTCCGCCCTTATCTCAGTTCTGAGGAAGGCAGCATAGAGTAGAGCAGAGCTGCTCCTGTGTCTCCAATCAACAACAAAAACAACCACCACAAAGAAAGCAAGAAAACAATGTGCACGAGAAACTGTGCTTGTTTGCTTCTCCTCTGATGTATATACTGTGTATGTAGTTCTTTCAGACCATCAATGCAGTTTCTTATTTTTTGCCCGTTCTTGTTCTACAAAAAGAACCAAAAATCTGTTTTGCAGTCCTCCACACCGGGTGTGTTGGTTTTTAAAAAAACGGGATTTATGCTTCGATTGATGTCTTAGTGTGAGGGGGGACATAAAAAAAAACCCCAGAGGAAATTAAAAGGTGACTATGGATGTGATCTTGTGTGAAAAAAGTGGTCCTGGTTCTTTCTTTTTTTTTTTTTTTT